AAGACAGCAAAGTTGGGGGCCAATCTAGTGGGCGGAGGCCAGAGTTCAGGTTAAAGAACCCCTTACAAAGTTGGGAGGCCTACCTGCAAACCTGTAGAGTAGTCTAGAGGAAAACAGAAGGAAAGGCACCGACACACAAGTGCGTCGAGTACCATTTCCTCCAGTTTTCCCAAATAGGGGAACAGGTACGGAAGTTTGCGTCCAAACTTCCATCCAGTCGATTTCCATAGCTTCATTGGCGTGACTAGGAAATCGACCGTCACGCCCCTGTTCCAAACCTAAAGGTTCCCTTTGATTCCAAGGCTCCAAGGGTTACACACACACACACACACACACGCCTCCCCAAGGGAGGCATGTCCTGCCCGGAAAGGAGGCAAGGCACATGCGCACGCAAAAGGGACAGATGAAAATGAAAAAGACAAGACAGACAAAGGTGTGTGTGTGGTTGCCGATGAAGAAGAACCAAGTGAAGAGGGACAACCGATGAACCAAACCTCATCGTAACGAACCTGGGCCACCTGAACCTCGTTGTAAGTAGAGTACGCGTGCGTGTATGTGTGCAAACTAAGGTCCGGACGATAATACGCGCAAGAGAAAGAAAGGATGAGGCTGAAGAGACGTGAAGACAGAAAGACATGAAAGAAAAGAAGGAAAAAAACCGTCTGTGGGGGCCGATGAAAGGGGGTCCAAATGAACGGAGACAAACCGATGACAGTCCAAACCTATTAGAAAAACCTGTTGCAGAAGCCTAGTTTGCTTGTAAACACGCCGCGCGCGAGGAAAGAGGGGGGGAGGGGGAGGAAGAAAAGAGAGGGAAAGAAAGAAGGAAACAAAGGTGCTCCCAGCTACGACACAAGCGTCCAAGGACACACCAAAAAGGAAGGGCTCCCAGCTATGACGAAAGCATCCAGGGACACCCAAGGAAGAGGGTGAAGAGAGGAAAGAGAGAAGGAAAGAAAGAGAGAGGGAGAAAGGGAGAGGAGAGAAAGGAAGGTGTTCCCAGCTACGAACAATCGTCCAGGGACACACCAAAGAAAGAGAGGGGAGATCCTGAGTATTCGATTCAGGAAAACCCCAGAAAGCAAAGAAAGAAGGAGGAGGGGGGACTAAGCGCTCGACAGGTTCCAATGAACCTTAAACTTGCTTTGACCGCTATGGTCACCTTGTGCCCTGCCAAAGTGGCTGGCTGCTTTGACCGCTGCGGTCACGTAAAGGCATAAGCCAATTTGAAATTCCAAAGATGAGACAAAGATCTAAATTCTTTCGGCATAAGCCATCTGCTGTCCGCTCCGGACACCTACTTTCCCAAAGCCGGGGAACATAACATGGACAGACACCCGTTCGAGGGGTCCACGGGAGGCACTCTACGGGCTCATCCCGGACTGGCACAGGGCCAGACACACTTATGGATATGCGTACGGACTGATAGCGGAGCAAAGTTGGGGGCCAATCTAGTGGGTGGAGGCCAAAGTTCAGGTTAAAGAACCCCTTACAAATTTGGGAGGCCTACCTGCAAACCTGTAGAGTAGTCTAGAGGAAAACAGAAGGAAAGGCACCGACACACAAGTGTGTCGAGTACCATTTCCTCCAGTTTTCCTAAATAGGGGAACAGGTACGGAAGTTTGCGTCCAAACTTCCATCCAGTCGATTTCCATAGCTTCATTGGCGTGACTAGGAAATCGACCGTCACGCCCCCTGTTCCAAACCTAAAGGTTCCCTTTGATTCCAAGGGTTACACACACACACACGTGTGTCCAATATGTTTAAAGAGTCTGACATACCAATTTTAACAAACATGTGGCAACCTAGTCTTTTAATAACCGCTTGTGCACAAGTTCGAATATTATTATAGAACCTTGAAGTAGGATTGGTGCACTAGTGGCAGAAATCCGTCTCAAACTGAAGCAGCAGACCAAAGAGAAAGATGCGCATGCAGTTTCGTAACTTCAGAATTCATCCCAGCTAGGCCATATGAGAGAGATTTCCGGGTTTGGGCATAGGCAAGATCAAAAGTTCAAAAGGTTTGTGATGCCTCTTCTGATTCGGCGAGTTCCACCCCATCTGGGGAGTCTTCTTTGACCGTCACCAACCACAGCCTCCCAGTCGACGCGACGTGTGCCATCGCCAGATACGCTGGATGCTGAGCTGCCGAAAGGTGCCTTGGTGTCCGCTTCTCAGTGGATCTCGGATCCATCAGAAAGTGATCATGATGATCATCGGCGACCTGTCCCTCATGTGCGACCGGGCGACCGGTGGGAGTGGTGACACTAAGGAGATAGGCGCACGGGCCCACATCGGTCAACGGCAGTTTTGCATGTGTTTTTTTTTTTCAGGGTTTGGTCCCTGGCTTGGCCCCACAACTTGCCACGGTGTGAACATGTGTGAACCCTGGGTCGTGGCAGAAACCAGTTTGGCCCACCAATTTGGCTAGCTAGTGATCCCCTTCCAAACTTGTTTGATTCAGCCCTTAACGGCAAAGCCTTCACACGCCATTCGCCATTCGCCTGCCGCACCCTGCCGCAGTCCGCTCGCAGGGCACCCTTCCAAGGAGATCTTGTGGAGCCTCCGCAGGAGACGACGTGGCCATGCGCGATGGCTGCCATCACATTTGATGGCCACACGTGATACGCTGGGATAGCTCAAAACCCGCGAGTTGTGAGAAACATTCCTTTTGTTGGAATGTGCAATTTACTCTTTGATCCTACTGTATGCCACTGCACGCGTGTATTTATCATTATTTATCATTATATATACACATAATATTGACAAAGGCCTCACCACTGGAAAGCAGATGAAAGCAGCGTCCCAAAGCCATCCACCCGTGGCATTCACATGTTTTCGCCGGTGCAAAACGATCAAAGCGACAGAGGTCGGGTTCTTCAAAAAACAGGCTGATAGGTCACCCAGGGACATTCCAGGGCAGCCAGGGCATGGGGTTTCTTCTGAGAAGACGAGCTGAATGTAGGTTGTCAAAGCTTGTCAAGGCATACAAAGGCTGAGGTTCAAAAAAGATGGGACAGAGCAAGAACTCACTCTATCGAGATGGACAAGACATCGTATCCTTTCGTATCCTCTCATGTGCAACCATCCGGTCTTTGGTCTGGATTTCGCCCGCAAGCCACGAGCAAACCAAGGTTCTGACCTTCTCCGGAACTGAGCGTCACCTGGACAGTAGTTTGTTAGTAGTGGTAGTAGCATAGAGCCACCCCCCTTCAACCCAGTCAGAACACCTCCTTGCACTGACCAGCTGCTGCAGCGGTTTCATACCGCGCTGCTACTCGACTGGCGGTCCGCAAGCGGGACGGACCTCCCTTTGCCCCAGGAGATGGGCAGCCTGGGCGATGGTGGGGGCAGCCGGGTGACGGAAGCGGTGGGTCACAGGGCCGGTGACCTCCACAAGGGGTTGGATTCGCTTTTTTGGTCCACTTGACTCTTGAGAACCATAGCCTATCATAACCCCGCAGATGGAGTCTATATTACTCAAGTGAACCAGTATGGAGAGCTGAACTCGCTGCTCTGAAAGGTGGAGGAAAACTCAGATGCCCTTTTCGCTCTATTGTCCCAGCGGGGCCCAACCTTTGACCAGCTCAAACTCGCACTTCTCCCTCAAAGACTTGGGCCAACCACAACGAGTTTGTCAGTGGCATTGCTCTGTTTAACAAAAATCACCCCAACAGCTTTCCAACCATTTTCTTGACTCAGGACCCAGAGTTTTGTCACATGCAGCAGGTGCACTTCTCTCCTCCTTGAGTGTTGCACATTTGGGCGGCTTGCATGTGGCTGGGGGGCCCAGGTGGCAGGTGGCACGGAACCAAATGGAGAAAACTCTAGACTCTAGAAATCTGAGGAAGACCAAAGTGGCCAAAGGGGTACTTGTCCATTGTTCAGTTTCTTTTTCAGGCACACGTACCGCGGTGTTCGAGGTACCTCAGCAGGCGATTGAAGTCAACGGGGTCATTCACGTGGAAAAGAGATGAATAGAGTCGCTTTGTAGAGGAACCTTTTGGCCATACGAGGTCCATGGCTTTTGTATGTCTTTGTCCATGTAATGTAGCTCTTGATTATATTTAAAAAATATGAAGAGGATGTTCAATTCAAATGGGGTGGTGTATTAATCAAGAGTCTACATTATGTTTGTGTTAACAGCGAGTAGTAAGATGTAGAAAGGCTCTGGTGCAATCATGTCAAGGCTTGGGGGGAAGCCTCGGCCGCGTCCCCCTGATCAAACAGAGGAACTCGCAAACAGATCACTCAGGCTCTACCTTTTTGAACGGTTTCTAGTGCGAAACTCGCACCAGATGGTATTTGAGCCTTTGCAGTGCCGTCGCCTCCCGTGTGTCGCTCCCCTTCGTTCACCGGGCCTTCTGCGCCGGTGGATCAGGGGGAGCCCTTCTTCTCAGCCGTCCGTGGCCTCGTCGCGGCCGGGTTCGGCCGTGGGCGCCGGGATCGGAGGAGGGCCGTTGGGTTCCTCGGCGACGTTGATGTGTCCGTGCTTAGACAATCTTAGACGTTCCCCTTCTTGTGACTGGGTGGGTGCAAGAAACATTTTTGGGGCCTGGCCTTTTCAACGAGAACCACTCCCCTGGAAACCAACATGGAAAGGCCACGGCTTTCCGAGTGTGGAAAAACAAACTCCCAGGCACTACCAACATCCCAAGAATCGATCAAGATTAACCATTGTGTTGGCAGAAGCGGGTTGTGACTTTTGCACGAAGACACGAAGACACGCGAAGACACGAAGACATGAAGACACGTGAAGACACGAAGACCCGAAGACACGGAGACACGCGAAGACACGAAGACACACGAAGACGCGAAGATATGAAGACACGAAGACCCGAAGACACGAAGACACGCGAAGACACGAAGACACGCGAAGACACGAAGACACGCGAAGAGACGAAGACACGTGAAGACACGAAGACACACAAAGACGCGAAGATATGAAGACACGGAGACACGAGGACGCGAAGATATGAAGACACGAAGACACGAAGACACGCGAAGACACGAAGAGGCTTCAGCTCTTCAAGGCTTCAGGTCGTCACTAGGCTTCAGGTCTTCAAGGCTTCAGGTCGTCACCAGGCTTCAGGTCTTCAAGGCTTCAGGTCGTCACCGGGCTTCAGGTCTTCAAGGCTTCAGGTCGTCACCAGGTTTCAGGTCTTCAAGGCTTCAGGTCGTCACTAGGCTTCAGGTCGTCAGCAGGATTTCAAGGCTTCAAGGCTTCATGTCTTCAGAGGAAAGTCACCCGAGATTGCCAGCACACTGAGATTAACATGGAATGATTTGTGTATATAGTTGGACCACGACCCCTGCCGCAACATTAACATCTTCAAGCAGACAATAAATCCTTGTCCGCTACGGCGAAATAGGGGCCGGGAACCATGTAGTTATATGGTGCTTGTGCGGGGTTCATCTCATCACACCTGCGATTCATGTGAGTAGCACCAGCCTGCATCAGGCTTTGGTGATTTCGAACCATGGTACTTGCAAAACCGATTTCCATTTCCGGGAGCTCGGGGGGGCCAAGCATTCCGGGAGCTGGATGGTATCGTCCAAGGAGCAAACCATGCCATGCATGATGGTGCAAACAAGATACGTATTTGAACGTGTAGACCTGAGTGGCAAGGAGAGTGTTCTAACTCACCTCCCTGCAGCTTCGCAACCATGTCAGCTTCTTTTCGCTGTACATTGTAGTTCTCACCGGCCTCCGGCCGCCGATGCCGATGATGAGGTCTTTGGCTTCAATGTCTTGGGATTGTCAAAGGCACATGCTTCCAACCCAGTGCAACACAATAGCCGTGTGCTCGGCACTTTGGTGCACGCGATATGATCCGATATGCGGTCTCTCATGATGGTTTGCAGACCATATTCACACCCATTGTTTGATCGCACTCTCGCCTTCTCCTTGACGTTTTGGACGACTTTGGACAGCCCATTTTGGACACCCACCTGCATGGTACATGTCACAACTTGGCAGATATGAGGCCTGGACCTTGGCCATGTGGCCGCCCGAGTGCTTCAAGCCACCCTCCCTGCAGCCAGTGGAACATCCATTGCGCTTGGGTAGCAAGCAGGGGTTTTTGTTGTTACACGCAGGCGGTGGCGCTTTGGATGCGTTTAAAAAGACATGACCTCACAAAATGGATGCCTGTTTGTGTAGACCTGGCGGTGCTTCCTATATGAGCTGCATCGTTTGCACCTTTCTATCTACTTTTTACTGCAACCAAGACCCTCCAGCAACCCACCGGCACAAAGCACGAGGTTCTTTTGAGATTGTGGCCTCATATCAACATACACGACTGGATACGAGGCTACTTGTAGACATCAAAGAACCGCAGATGAACGTGCTTGTGTTAAGCAGCAGGACACAATCACAAACTTTGTCTCGAGTTCAGCACAACATATGAAACTAGGTAAGTTTGGTGGAAAACTCGTAATGCCGACTAGATTCTAGAATGTTTATTCCTGACTTAGTCCTGCTTCGGGGAGCAAAGTAGTTTATGTAAGGCGGCACGTGTTCAAGCGGTTTGAAATGTTGAATGAGTTTCCTTGCGTTCGCTTTCTTCAGACTCTTCATCCCAAGAAAAGCTTACAAAAGTTACTATGTAGCAATCAATAGGCCCTCCTCAAGGATGATCCAACCCTTTCCTGCATTGAAAAAGACACCACCTGTTTTGGATGGTGCCTTGGGCTCTGTCAATCTCGCCTGAGGCTCAGCCGCCGGGAAGAAGCCTCCCGGATCCGCATCATTGGCAAGGACAGGTGTGCGGACTCCGGATGGAAGGGACGGCACGATGCCAATTCGTGTGGGGTGGTGGGTGGATGGACTCGGATTTTTTTGCGGTGTTTGTTTCTTCTTGATCAAGAGCCCGAAGGATTTACCCTTTCTGGCTTTGGCCCAGGCATCAGTTAAATGACATAAAATATCATAAAATGTATACGAGGACAGGCACAGATCTTGGTTTACAGTGAAAAACGCTCAAAATTCGAATTGGCCTGTGAGGAACGCCGTAGTTTCGGCATGCTGTCAACATGAGTCCCGTCTTCCTGATGTGTCTGGCACAAAGGGCATGAAAACCACCGTGACGAAAGAAAACGGGGAGTGCAAAACTGTGAAGATCGTGTCAAGGTCCAGCACTACGTCCCCTGCCGAGGTAGAAGAAGCGATTAGCTATTGCCGACCATGTCCATTTCACCAGAAGTGGTGATCAAACAGGATTCAGCAAAAGAGACAACATTCTGTAGCATACCAGAACCATTGTTGTTTCACTCTCGCTTGTTGGCGTGGATTCGAAAGCTTGACGTGCCTTGATCTACCGCATGTTGGAGTTCGCTGCTCCAATTCAGTTGTGAGTGAATGGATGTGTGCAATGACGCAACAAATCACCCCAGGAAGCCCCGAAGCTGCCAAGAAGCGCGGCAATCCTCCTACTTTGCTAGGCCCAGTTATTGCCACATCTCTCCCCAGGAGCGTGCTTTGGCCGTTTGGCGTGTCACCGACACCCGGATTGCGGCATCTCGGCCACCGCGAGAAGATGCGGACGGAGATGAGGAAGTTCCAGTGTTTTCCTCCAGCCCCCGAGTTGTCCGTCGAAGTCCGGCATTTTTTGGCCCGGCTTGGCAGATCTGCAAGCCATTGCGCCAAACGATATCAGCCCCAATCTAAAAAAGTTGGAAAATAGGCATGCTGTTGGTGCCCGGATCTTGTGTGACACGTTCTGACATGTAGGCAGCGGTGGGGGATCCAACGCTAGCGAGTTGGAGAGCACTGTAAAGTAAAAAACCTATTACAAAGAAGACCATGGTCGAACATACTGTCATTTGTGTGTGAAACTGCAGTTTCACAGCAACAACGCCAGAGAATACGGATGTGAGGTCAGAGCTGGCCCCCATGCGCAGGCGCAGCTAGCGCATGGGGCATTCCCGCATGACCAACTGGGCCGTGGCCTAGTGGGACGGCTCCGCCCGCAGCTCTAGCTGACTCTAGCTCTGCAGATTCTGCAGAGAAAAGCGTCCATCAGCCCATGAACGAAAAGGTCCTAGTAGCTTCTTGTGAATTCTTGTTTCTTCGCTAGCCTCTTGCTCCTAGTAGCGATGCCAGGAGCCCCTAGTAGCGATGCCCTTTGCTCCTAGTATCTCCTAGTAGCGTCCTTTACCCTTTCTGATTTTGGTCATTCTGGAATGTTTTGGATCTGCTTGGGCTCCCGAAACTCACCCACCAAACTTGAAGGCGCAGATCGTGGATGTCTTCTACAAGGGTGACGAGGTCCTCGCCACCGGTGCGGAAGGCCCCTGGCTACGAATCGCCCAGGCGAGGTGGCCTCACTGAAGCAGCCTTTTGGAACTCCCGTTTGATGCCAGGAGAGCTGGCCCAACCCTGCAGATGCGCCCGAGGAGGCCGAGTGGGCCGTCGGGATTGCTTGGGCCTTCGTGGGTCAAAAGAAAAACCGCGAGCCCAGAACTCGCCCTGGTAGATTTGGCCTGCCAGGTGGTCCATTCCGTTCATTTTCGGTGGTCAGCCAAGGTCTTCAAGTTTTTGACCCACAGCGATCTTTGGTGGATTCCATCGAGTTCCACCGACGGATCATGGTTCAGGAGACAACTACTAATTACTGGTACTAACTGCAGCCCTTTACACCTTTGAAGAAGGGTCGGATGATGTCAGGCTTGTCACTGCCGGGTGGCTGGACTCTCTTTGACCTGCAGCGGCTTGGGGGAAGCACAGGGAATTGACCTTGGATGGACTTGCGGGTGGCTGAAACAAATGTCCTGACCCGGCCAGGAATCTCTACCCTGCCCAATGCCCAATGGAGCCAATGGAGCCAATGGTGGGTGGCTAGGTTTTTGCACCCTCTGAAAGGAATGTGGCTTACGAAACCCAAGCCACCGCTTTGGATTTAAGCCAGCCGTCTTGAAGGGTATAAAGGCATAAATGATGCGAGCTTCTCTCCTGTGCCTCTGTGATGAACTTGAGTGACCCTAATCAAAGCCACATCTTTGGCCCCCATTTCCTGCTGGACGATCCTTTTCTTTCGAGCGATTCCAGCTGTGCGAACTGGTCGGCACAGGCTTGGGTACTCCAAGATGGAAGAGCCTTCGGCCTCGGCTTGCTCTTGCAGCAGGCGCTTGACCTGATGGAAACCATGCACAAGCCAAACATCAGAGGAGAGGATTCTGAGGAATGATCAGCATAGTAGCTTGTATCAAACTCAAGATGATCGACCCATTAATCTAGATATATACATATGTGTGATATATATATATATAAGACCCGGAGCCTAAAAGGTTACATCAGTCCAATCCCATGTTTCTTGAAGGGGCGATTTGCGCTCTTCGGCATGCACATCGGCTCAACTTGTGGACATTCGGCGCCCTCCGAACTGGTCGCTGTGCGCAGGTCACTGCGCCCAGATAGAACAGCAGTGCAGCGGAGCTTGGAGAGGAAAAGAAGGAATTCTGGTCAGGAGTCAGGACCGTACACCTTGCATTGCAAAAGGTGCGGGCCATCATAGGAATCATGTTCAACAGATTTCAACAGTATTGTCATGCAATTCCAGGACTGGCATCGAGAGTGTTCATTGGAGAGCGATACGGGCCGCTTTAGCAAAAGTCGAAAACATCCTCAATTGTCGTGTTGCATGTTGTAAAGTAGCACAAGCAGACCATGCAGACCAACGATACCAAGAGTCTCCATTTTCGACATGCTGTACAACGATACCGAACGTCCTGATGACACAATTTTTGCTTGACAAGCACTCTACGCAATTGCTACTGGAATCCATGTACCACGGACGTGCTGATAAGCATTTGCACTGTGCCACAGCAAAAGCTTGGCCTTTCAGGACGCCACCGCTTGTTCTCCCTGTTGAAATATTTCAGGAGATGGCTCCTTCTGAGTTCTGTTTGTGGCAGGTCAGGTATCAGATGGGTATCAGGTACCATGGCTCCGCGTGTATGCGCGGATCGGCTGGGCCGTTTCGGCACAAGCACGCTGCGGCACGTCGGAACTCTGTGGTCCGCCCGGCGGCGTACCCGGTGGCGAGGTGTCCCAGGAGGAGCTTCAAACAGGAGTCAGGTCGATTCATAGACTCAGACGACCCCCAAATGAATAGAACATGTAGATATCCCCACTTAAAAATACTTATATAATCACGAAAGGTAGCCTGGTAAGGACTACCTTGAGTTTGCTTTGCGAAGCAAAGGGACTGGCTTGAGAGCTTGCTCGGGACTAAAGATTGGTAGATCAATGTCTAACACCCCCACCCCCCCCCCTCTCCCATGTGATGAATGATTGATAAATCAATTGATTCGACCCCCCGCCCCCCTCCACTCCCCTCCCCGTCCCCTCCCCTCGTCGCCAGCACTACTAAATTCTGGACATAAGGTGAAGTCATGCGCTTAACAGTCACAGCAGTACGACGCTGGCCATGAGGTTGCGCAATACAGCACGAACCCTGCGCAATGAGGTCGCGCAATGCAGCTTCGATGCCGCGCGTGCGCACCCGGCAGCCTGACACAGCGCGTACTGCGTTCACAGACCATATTGCTCGACACCAACGAGCATCGATGCAACACAGCCTTTCTGCAAAGAACCCCTCGCGTCGCGGAACACCATTCGACTCAGCCTTATACCCTAGCGTGGCGAAATCTTACCGCATCGTGGAGCACACCCACCATAGCGTGACGTCCATCCCTGGCAGTACCGGCCGCACCCCTCCAGCACTATCCTTACAAGGGGGTTGGTCACTGAGTCACTGCGGCTTCGACGCAACGCGTGCAGGCCTGTAATCCTGACACAGTGCGTGCAGCTGTGGGACCATAGCTGGTACACATGCGAGCGTTTACGCATTGCGACTTTTACGCGCGCCTGTTTTTACACACCTAGACACAAACGAACGTCGACGCAACGCAGCCTCTCTGCAGAGCCGTGTGGCGCAATCTGACCGCAACGGTGTTCCTCTTGAGCCTTCTTATGCCTTCTTGTGCTCTCTGGCTTTGTTGGTTTCATCCTTGATTGACCCAGGGGCACGTTCCTGAAACACCGGAGACAGTCCCTCACCAGAAAAGGCCCCGACAGCTACTCGGTCCGTCTCTACCTTTCGTGTTTCCCCGCTCAAGTATGTATTGGACACCGTGCCACGGTCCATCTGTTTGGAAACCACTTCGTTAGCTGTTTGGGAAGTGGCTGAAGATGATTGTCGTTTGGGTACACTGGGGTACGTCGCTCCAAATGGGGCGGACCGGACCTGGTGAAATCCTCGCCGGTCAGGTCCGCCCGGGTCCGCCATTAACTGGAGCTTTTTGGCCCAGTTTGAGGTCAGACCCAAGAACTGGGCACTTGAGACCAAGAACTGGGAGTTGAGTTGAGTTGAGGGTAGTAACTTCTACCAAGACATTTGTGCTGACCCTGGGGTGGCTGGGCCAAAAAGCTGTCGATGCTTTTCTCGGCCAGAAAGTGCTTCTTCTCGCTGCTTGGATTCTCTCAGGTTCTGGTGAGGAGGCTGTCATCAAGTTTGATGTGGGCACCTCAGGAAGACGTGTCTCCTCGCGTGATCGCTCGCACGTCCCTTTCGGACGTTTTCGCACGGCACCAGCGCGGCAGCGGCCGAGAAGGACCCCGCTGAGTCGGAGCATGTCGGAGCATGCTGTTTCAAGGCTCGAAGGTTCCTGCCAACTGATTTCACAGTACTCAGGACCCTCAGTTCCCTCATAGCCAGTTCCCAAGTACTCAGACACTGTTTGGAACACCGACCAGTCAGGGTTCCAAGCGTGGCGGATGAAACGACCCCTTCGGCCCAGGGCACATGGAGGAGGCGCGGGTCGGCCCGCCGGACAAGTGGAGAGAAGGGTAACAAGGAGGGAGACAAGTGTAACATCAAGGGTTTTTGCAGGTCAAGGATGGTCAAGGGATGTCAAGGGTGTTCGATTTCTTCTTCACTTGGATTCCTACCTTTGGGTTTTTCTGGCGGACATCCATTGCAGACTAGAGGAGCCATGACCCCCAGGTCTTGGAGCCTGAACCGCCGGACTCCGCAGAACGACCTCGCTGTTTAGACCCGGTGTGATGGTGCTTAGCGGATGCTAATCAAGTCGTACTACACCCCCCCGGATGCACTGCGCGCGGTGGTCCAGGATGCCTCAGCGCTGTGAAACGTCGCTGTGAGACCCCAATCGAATCCATCCTGATCGTGATCCATCTTGATTAATCATGATGTTGATATAATTGTCCTGGTCCTCATCCACCTCACCTTCCTCCTTCTCCCAATCCATCGTCAGCCTGATGTTCACTTGCTTCGGGTTTCATTCAGCTGACCCGGCTGACCCCAGAGTTTCTGCGCGGCAGCCCCACCGGCACCGGCGGCATCTCCGGTGGCCCACGGCGGAGCCCACAAGGCGAACTACGATGCCGATGATGATGATGAAGAGGCCGAGCCCGGCGCCCCAGAGGATTCTGCATGATTCTGCAGAGTCCAACATTCAGCACAGGCAAACAGCTTGGGGTGATGGATCTATTGGTCTTAGTACTTGTGAACACGGCTGAGGCTATTTGCTGGATGTGGCGTATTCCTCTATACTTGGGGGTTGTGGAGGTACGTTGGAACTCCTGCCGGTTTTTCTCAGGGTCCGTTCTTGGCAACCGGGTCAGCCAGACTTAGAACCGGTTGCAGAAAGCAGCAGCCACACCGGCATTGAATTGCATTGATATAATAAGCAGGTTCACGGAGAGCGCCTATTTTGGTTCGGGAATGCAACTGGGTTTTGGGATGCATCATCTCCCGTGGCAGGTTGACATGCAATATATATATATACAACGTCAATAGCCCCCTCGAGTCATTTGCACCAGCAATACCAATGAGGGTGCTCCACCACTGGCAGTGTTTTCATGTGTGCAGCACGGTCTAAGGCAGGAGAATGAGAAAGACGCAGAGAATGAGACTGAGACGGTTGACAAGAAGAACGACGCCACCGCTGAGAAAGTGCCGCCCTTGGATGAAACTGGGACTCGCCCTTGAGAAGGTTTAAGGAGCTAGGATGGAAGCACCATATGTTCCTACATTCTCAGGACTGGTGTAAGGAAGAATCTACGGAAAACATTCAGAAACCCATAGTTATGGGAGTGAAGACCATGGCTTCCGATAGATGCTCACTTCTAAATCCGGGATGCCACCCTGGACTCCGCACGGACCCGACAGCCGTGTGTTCTGGGTGTTTGGACTCCGCTGGGGGCCACAGCCCAAAATTATGGTGGATCATGACGGATCTATATATATATATTATATATAATGTATGTAAAACCTTTGGAATCCTTTCGATCCATGCCCATTCACAGTGGCCGCGAAAACTCTTTGACCTATGCCTACCTTTGGAATCCTTTCGATTCATGTCCATTCACAGTGGCCGCGACAAAATTCAAGTCATAGCCAAGTGAACCATCAACCGAGAGCCACCACTAGAGTTGCAGGGCTCACAGTTGCTCCACTCGGGTTTGTCGCATGGACCAGCTGAGAGGCGCAGCCAAAGCAGGGCGCCAAAAAACGGCGGCGAGGGGGGCGAAATGCTCGAGGAAAAGTCAAGCAGAAGGAGAAAGAGCAGGAGCGGAGTTTCGGGCTTGGAAAGTGGTTTGACACTTGCCGTGTCCCAAAGATATGATGCGGACACTTGATATGCACACACTTCGCACATGACTTTACAAAGTTATGCTACTGTACTCATACCAGCCAATCGCAGTATAAGTTTGGAAGCGGAATTAGCATGCCTGTTTACCGAATCCTCAGACGAGCCATGAGCTTCAATTCGTTGCAGTCCCAAAGGGCTGCCAGGTGGCTGGTCTCATGCAGAGTTTGCGATGTTTCCTCGGCGTGGGTAATTATACTTTGTTTTAGCTTCATGTAGTTTCGTGCAGTTTCGTGCCGCAGCCAGAAACAGGTATCGGTGCCCCCTGGTTGACCATGAGCTAAGGGGTCTCTACCCGGATCAGGCATGGGCTACTGAAAATGGATCCAAGTGACATAAAAATTCTCTTCCTTTCACATGGGCATGGGTCAATACCAAAAGTATCCAAATAGTATTGCTGATCACCCAGAGCTCGCCAAAGAGTCGCGCCCGACCTGGTCAGGATGATGAGGACCAGCAGCTGGCAGCAGCAGAGACCATTGTGCTTTGCCAAGTCACCGATTCCCGTCGTGCTCGACAGGAATCAGATGGAACCCGCTTGATCGAGCAACTGGAGTCGGTGTATGTTCATCATCGGTTTTCCAACAAGATGGAATCCGTGGCCCGATTTTGAGGTGGTTCGGTTTGAGGCACCACCCCTGTCGCCTGTACTGACACCATCCAACATCATCCATCATCATCCAGCATCATCCAGCACCCAGTCCTGAGGGACGCTCGATCCTGACGGCGAAGATGAAGAAGACGAAGATGTGTGACTTCCACAAGGAGGGAAGGCGCGGGATGGACCCCTTCAAATCATGAGACCTCGAGCCGAGGCAGCCGAGGCAGGGCTCACGGTTTTTCTGTTCTCCGGATGTTCAGGGGGATGGGCCGCCGGCAGAGTCTACTTGATCTCCGACAATGTGCTCCTCAGAATGGCCATCAATCAGATTCAATAAGACATATATATATATATATATGTATATATTATATATATATATATTCAAAAGGCAGTAGGAATACCTATAGGATTATATAGGCGGTCTTAACTGCCCTTCGCAGAAAAAAAAACAGAACACGAAAGCGGACCCTTCGGACGCACACCGGATCGTTCGGTTCCGGTTTGGAGACGACTGTCACGGCGCTCAGACCGATGGAGTCCAGACCGATGGACCCGGCTCTCGGTAGCGCCACAGAACGACCACCTGCTTGTCTCGAAACAGGGAGCTGGAAGGATAGGGGAGCAGTCTTGGGAGTCTTGGGGCATCTCCAGTTGGTTCCTGGCCAGGTGCAAGTACGGCTCCGAGTGCGCCTTTGCCCACGACCAGCCCCTTGTCGCAGAAGTTTTCTTTGTTTTCGGGGGGTGGGAGGGTCAGTCAAGTGGGGGGCTGAAGGGATCCATTGGAGTGGCCCCCGCCTCATTCTGAATCTGTCCAGCAACCAGAAGTCCATTGAATGAATGACTCGAGTAGTGCTTGGTGGGAACCCTGGTTCTTGACGAAATCGGCGAAAAACGGCACGGAAGGCCAAGAGACCAAGGCTTTGATGGTGAAAAAATGCCAAAGGGCAAGGTTTTGGGTGGTTGGTTCTCAAAAGCAGGGATTGAACGCCCTGGCACAAAGAAATCCACCCATGGATAAGCATGATATGGACACAGAGAGAGAGAGAGAGAGGGAGAGGGAGAGAGAGAGAGGGAGAACAAAAATGAATTGTCTCCAAATTTCCTGACGATCCTGGCGAATCTCACTCGAAGGGTCGTTAGACCGTGGGGTATGCGCAGCCCTAACAAAAAGAGCCCCTCCTCCCCTAAAACAAACAAACAAAAGTGTTTCTCCCTTCTGGAAACTTGTAGACTTCCTGCTGCCGTGACCGAGTCACCTTGGGTTGAACCTCGCTCTGTCTCGGGTGGAGAACCTCCGCCTCGCGAGGTCCGAGCTACAAGAGGCGCCGGACTTAAGAAAGACCCGCTTGTGCCGGGCTCTCAACTGGGCGGGTGGATTTGGATTTGAGTGCTTGCTAATGCTAGGCCGTTAGACTGTTGCAGTTGTCTTGAAGTGTTCTTGAGGGGTTGGTTGGTTGGTTGGTTGGTTGGTTGGTGGGCTATTTTGCAGAAAGGTCCGATTCGCGCGATGTCAGAAGAAACAAACATCGGGGGGAGCATCACACGAACCGCTTGTTCCCGACACGAATCGCTAGGCCGGTCCTTCCTGGCGGGGTTGGGGAGCTCAGAGCTATGGGAATCGATCAGGGGAGCCGGACGAGAACATCGTCCAGAGCTGCTCAGTGATTGGTCGGCCCAATCCAACACCTGCTCAGTAAAACTGTTTGTTACAAGGTGCTTGCACTAGCCGCGAGCCCCACCACCACCCCTTTTTATTTGTACCCGGCGATTTGGAAAAATTGCTGTGGTTGAGCGGTGGAAATATGTGCGGCGCGGTGGAAAGTTGGGGTTGATTGTACATGAGCCCGTTTTGTGACTCCACGTTGTTCTGTGAGATGCTCACCGCAGAAGTATGGAGTCCCGGGCTCCGAAGATTGACGTTCAGCTCCTAACCCCCTGGGTTCCTTTTTTGATAAAATATACCCTGGGAGTCAAAGACTACAAAGAGAATTGTCTTTAGGTGACCCGAGTTCAGGAATGTCCTTTACTTCAGCCGGTCAAAATATAGTCTTTGGACTTCTAGGGGCATATATATATATAATAGTTATATATACATCCATATACATCTATATACCATGCTATATATATATACCGTAACGTTGCAGTGAAAGAGGGCGGTTTGGGTTGAGAAGGAAGGCACGGGCCCCACGGCTCCATGTTTGGAAGTGAGTCGACAGTGGGACCCGTCGTGTCTCACTTACCGACGCGGGGCGCATGTCCAGTCTGAAGTCGCACATAGAAATAGACTTTTTGTTTGTTTCTAACATGCTATGTCCAGTTTATGTGATAGTTTTGTTCATCATTATTCTTGTTTTTGATCGTGCCAGCCGCGCGTCATCAAAAGAGACCCGGCAGCCCATGGTCTTCCGTTGGTCGTAGAAAGGAAGAAGGCCCATGTCCGACGTCCCTTTTGGGGGAGAGGTGCACCATGCGTGCACTACATGCGGCAAAGACGTCCAAGTCACCGCAAGTCATGTCAAGCTGTGACTGACACATGTTCTATAATGTTATATATATATATGTTTCTATCATGTTCTCAGCCCTTTCGAAACACCATGCAAGAGCTGCGTCACAGCAATGGTTTGGGATCAGCACCAGATCAAAATCCGGATGTGGGTCCTGAAACGAGGCGAGGCCTCTCGCCTCATCTCAGACCAACTCCACCAAGCTGACACACCAATCTCTTCAACGTGCACCAGTCTCCCCACCACCTGTGAGCCTCACCAGTCTGGTCAAGTCTCCCCACCAGTCTCGGTGCGCCAGGAAGTGCACGGATGCCAACTGCAAGTTCGCACACGGGGAGGAGGAGCTGAGAGCCGCTGGGAGAAGCAGCGACGTCGATCGATGTAGGGCGGGCCGCGGAATCCGCTCCGCTCGGGTGGAGGATTCGATCTGGCGCCTCGGTGGGACCACATGCGAGAGTGTCCCCAATGGACTTGCCACAAGAAGAAGGAGTCCACTCAAGACAAGTGATTCATCATTATTCGCTTTTGTAGCTGGAAAACTTTCAACCTTGATGTTCTAGGACAACTGAAAAACTGAAGACTCTTGAGGGTGAGGAAAGGCCCCGCTTGGCTTGATTCACTAAACCTGTGCACTTGCGCAAGAAGAGGGTGAGTGATGGCTGGCACTAGCAGCACGGGTCAGTGGAAGTCGCTTTCGCAGGTGTTTAGTTGGTCCAAGCTGGGCCGGACACCATGGGGGCAGCCAGGCCTTTTTGGCTTTGTGCCGCCCTCCTTCAGGGGCTCCGTGCCCTACCACACAATGAAGTTGGCCTTTCTGCAATGCAGACAGTGAAGGCTACGAGAGCTACAGACAAGGCTTCGGAGCAGAGCGGAGTTTTGCAGGAGTTGCGTGTGCAAAAAGCAGCTCTTTCGTCTCTTCAGGAGAAGAAGGCAGAGGAGGAAGGAGCCTTGGAAGTCCTACAGGCCCGTGAAAAGCAACTGTCCACCGAGCTGCAAGAACTTCTCTCAAGACGGACGAATTCGGGTGCTTTATCCTTTCTGCAGGAGTATGCCGAGTCCGGCAATGCCGAGTCGGCGGAACGACGCAGCCAGCAGCAGGCTGAGGATGACCGCCTCGCAAGAGCAGAAAGTAGCTTGGGCTTTGATTGTGATGTTCCACGTATGTGTATCAATATAATATATACCCAAGCGCTCCATGTATGGAATATATGCCTAGATTGGGGTGGTTTGGGGGGTCAATGGATAATATATATAATATATATATATATGTATGTGTGTGACATACATGGAGTGTCTGGGATATATATATATATATATACACATGTCGTATGTTTCCACACCTTTCCCCCCGCTTTTACAGTCGAATGCCCCCATGGCCCTAGAAAAACGGAATTGGTTTCTCCAATGAGGTCACCTCTTCAGAGACGAAATGTTCGTATCCAAACAGGTCCGTGAAATCTTGGGCAGGGGATACCTCGTGACTGGCTCATGTATAGTCAAGATTCTTTGGGTTCCTGAGCAAGTCCAAGGAAGCACAGAGATGTCGCGGAAGCTGCTTCGGAAAACCTCTCAAGAGCTCTTGGAGCTGCAGAAACAGATTCAAGTGCTCAAAGGGCAGCAGGAGAAAGTCCAGAAAGAGGAGTCAAGCAACCAGGTCTTGCTTTAGGTGTGTTGGGGTCGTGTGTTTTTTCTTCCTTTACGGACGTCCCCTGCCATCATACACACACCAGCAATATCCAGCAAGTCTAGATGGCAGAAAGCGTTTCTATTGTTCTCCGGGTCTCTTGTTCCAATCAAAGGCAAAGAGAAGCTTTTGCTCGAGATGCACCAGACCCTTGCAGAGCCCGTGGCTGCAGAGGCGGATGCCATGGACCTTCAAGTGCGGGTCACTGGCTCCGTCTTCGAGAAGGAGGCCAAGGGGCACCCCAAGGAGCGCGAGCGCCAATCCGCGGGCCTGCGACGAGTCAAGGCAACCATCGCAGATCCCCAGTTCGCCCTCAGGGAGCCGCTGAGGGAGCAACAGCAACAGCGCTGGCGCGACCGGGCCGCCGAGGTGCACCGGGTCGCCGAGGCCACGGCGGAGGAGCACGGAGCCGCGGCGCAGCTGGAGAAGGAGAACCAGGCGTTTCGTGAGGAGCTGCGGAGCATCGCGAGGGCTGACAAGGTGGAAGGGGAAGAAGCTGAGGCAGTGGCCCAGCACCTCCACAAGTCCATGGAGTCTAAGGAGAAGGAGCTGAACCGTGAACAAGAGGAGTTGCGTCGCGAGCAGGGTGAAGTTCAAACACTTCTTGGGCAGATCCGGCACGAGACTGCTCAAAGGGACTCCACAAAGGCAGAGGTCGGCAGGAAGAGGCAACTCCTGCAAGAGTCCCAAACAAAGCTCCAGAGCACACATGAGGTGGTTTCTGACTTGAAAAGGAACGAAGCTGACTTGGAGCTCAAAGTGCTGAACCCGCTTGAAGGAGAAATGGCACAGTTGAAAACTTTGCAGGCAGCCAGGCTGAGCAACTTGCAGAAAAAGGATGCATTGGCCAGAGAAGTAGAGGTCACGTCCCGAAATATCTCAGACCTTCGCTTGGCGCTGGCGCGGGAGAAGTCCCGTCAGTCAGTGCAAGACATTTGGGACAAACCCGCCCTTGCAGAACTGAAGGAGAAGACTGCCAAAGCCAAAAGAGTGATGACACGATTGCTGCGGAAGGTGGCCCAGCAGACCGGCCAAGTGCGTTTGCGGTTTCGTGCCAAGTCCAAAGCTGCCGAGGCGAAGCGACAGGCAGCTGTTTTGGACTTAGAGGCCATGCTAGAAGCAGAGACCCAGAAAGAGAAGAAGGCTTTGGAGGTACAGAATCGATCTCTTGCTCATGAGCTCCTTCTTGCAAAGCAGAAGGATCGGGCGCGGGTGGAGATCAGGAAGCAGGAGGTCAAGTCCAAGGAGCTGCGCCGTGAGTTCCAACAGGTGAAGTCTGAGGAAGCGAAGCAGTCCGAGAAAGCCCGCCATGAGGCCCAGAAAGTGGAAGTGCAATTGAAAGAGCGACAGAAATCCCTTGAAGGCAAAGTCCGGCAGAAGGAGCAGGCAATCTTGAAGCTTCAGAGCCAGCGCTTGGGACGTGGCCAAGAGATGCTTTCTTTGCAACAACACGTCGCTGTGGCTCGATCTCAGGAGAAGGCGGTGATCCAAGACATGCACAAGATCAAGGAAGAGAGAGTGCGATTGGTCAGCACAGAAGAAGTGGAACTGACCAATGGTCTTGAACGTCTCCACAGGGCTGAGGAAGAGGAGGGAAGGCGTAGAGTCGAGGAGAGCAAAAACCTCAAGAGCGCAATGGAGGCAGAAGAGACGAAAAGCCAACTAGCGAAGGATCGAAAGATTGCACAGTTGGAACGCGACATGCAAAAGCTTGGGGCACAATCTGAGAACCAACTACAGCTGCCAAAGCTCAAAAGCATGCTTGCAGAGGAGGAGGGCAAGGTACAGAAGCTTCGTGGCTTCTTGGCCTTTGAGAAAAAGCTTTCATCAGCAGCCAAGGTTGCCTTGAGGAACCTGTGGGAGCACTTGCGAGAAGCATAGTGCCAGGAGCTTCGACAACTTGCCTTTGCGTGTTTCTGAAAATGATGCCTTTTTTCAGTGCTTATGGGTTGCTCTTTATGAAAGGACCCCTCCAGCCCACTGTGCTCCTGCGTTGGTGGGAAGGTTTTTCTGTGCCTGTCAACAAGAGTTGGAAATCCCAACATGTCAGACAAATTACTCACACCTGAGATCTGAGATAATTGGTATACGATCGGTATCCAGTATTCGAAGCTGTGAAATTCGTGAATTGGTCAGGCAGAAGGCCTGGTCAACAGAGTTTGATCGGCCACCGGGACTTCCCCACATCTCGAACAGATGTTGGGAAGCTGGTGGTCTCTTGTGAGATGACTCTTGTTGATGATGCCAACCCCACCATCCCTTTATTTGCATGAAACAAGAAGCTACTAGTAACAAGTGCCTCGCTAGTAGTAACAAGTGCCACGCTAGTAGTAACAGGTGCCTCGCTAGTAGTAACAGGTGCC